TAGCTAGACAAAACGACGAGAAACTCGAAAATGTGTCAAAAAGATTCGACGAGAAATTTGAAAATGTTTCTCAAATGATGGAAGAAACTTCGAAAAAGAATAATGAGAAATTTGAAGAAGTTTCCAAAACATTCGAAAAAGTAGAAGAGAAGATCAAACAGTTAGAGAGCATGATAACTAACACAAAAATGCTACCACCAGTTAATACGGTAGCTTTAGATCCGGTAGTAAAAGAAGAATCACCGAGAGACGAAACGACACATCATATGAGATTCAAATTGCCACCGTTTGATGGAAAGTCTTCTTGGTCCATATACCTTAGAAAATTTGAAGCTATTGCGACAGCCAATCATTGGACAGAACAAGAAAAGGCTGTTTCCTTGACTGCTGCTTTACGAGGTGATGCTGCAGATATCCTAAGATCGATTCCTAAGGGCCAAGAAAAATGTTACCAGACCTTGTTTACTCGACTAGACAAACGTTACGGAGATGCCCATCTACAACAAGTCTACAAGGCGCAACTAAGAAGTAGAGTTCAACGAGCAAGAGTTTGAAGCAGATGTTGCTCGTATAGTGCGGTTGGCTTATCCGGAGGTACCAGACAACATTTTGGAAGAAATTACTGTAGATACCTTCGTCAATGGGTTAAAAGAAAGCGAATTACAGAAAGCTTTACGACTAGCAAGACCGAAAGTTCTAGATGAAGCGCTCGCTATTGCTTTGGAACATGAAACAGCTAGTCAAACTTCACGGAGCCATCGAGTAAGAACCATTGAAGAAGGCGAGGAACCAAACGATGAACGTCTAGAAGAAATGGTACGAAAAGTAGTTCGTAACACGATGCCGAAGAGACGCGAGCCCAGATGTTGGAATTGTGGTGACGTAGGTCACATTCGCCGTAACTGCAAGAAAATGATACAACAGTCGGAAAACTAGAACGGGTCGACACCAAGGGGCAACTGCCGACCTCGAGAAACACAGCCCCCATAGTAACTGTGAACATTACGTCCTCCGGTGGAATTCATAGCTTATACATCGAGGGTCGTATCAATAATAAATGTAGATCGTTTTTGGTAGATACAGGTGCAACAAGAACTATAGCACGGCCAGAAGTAGTACGAGACCATCTTAAATTATCGCCTGCAACAGTAAAGCTTAGAACAGCAACTGGTGAGATAATTAATACATATGGCGAGGCTAATATGTCAGTATCCATTGGCCAGACCACAGTGAAATATCGAGTATTAATTGCAGAGATCTCCGACGAGTTCATATTGGGGATGGATTTACTACGGAAATTTGGGGCTGTATTGAATGTCAAAGATGGAGTTCTCGAGATCAGTGGTGAAGAGTTGCCGTTTCATGATGACAAGGAAGATGTTATCAGCTTAATAACTACTTGTGACGTAACAATACCCGCTAATAGTGAGAAAATTTTGATGGCCAGACCTGATGGTTACTGCCGAGAGGGAAGTTTAAGGATGATCGAAGATGTGAACAATGCCGAGTTCCTAACGGCAAAAGCTTTGGTGAGAATTCGAGATGTCGTTCCTGTAAGAGTTATGAATTTAAAGGGAACTGCTATTAAGTTAAGTAAAAGAACTTTGATCGGACAGTGTGTTTCCGTGGCTTCGATTTGTTCCATGAAAACTAATGAGAAACCGTCGAAATCTAAGTATCCAAAGGAGCTTGTTGAGACGATGATTAAAACGTGAGAAGATCTTGATGATGAACGAACTAAAAAAGTAAAGTCTATGCTGATAGAATTTCAAGATGTTTTTGCCGTTGATACGAAGGATAATGGCAAAACAAGCATAGTAAAGCACAAAATTAATACCGGAGACGCTCAGCCAATCAAACAACAACCTAGACGACTTCCATTTGCGAAAAGAGATAAAGCCGAAGACATCATCAAAGATATGAGCAAACAAGGGGTAATTGAACCATCAAACAGTCCATGGACATCACCAGTAGTACTAGTAAAGAAGAAAGATGGTTCAACACGTTTTTGTATTGACTACCGACAGCTCAATGCGTTAACTAAAAAAGATAGTTATCCTTTGCCCAGAATAGACGATACTTTGGATACACTTTCTGGTTCTCGTTGGTTCTCCACACTCGATCTGAAAAGTGGATATTGGCAAGTAGACATGGAGCCAGCTGATCGTGAGAAAACCGCATTCTCGATAGGATCAGGGCTTTGGCAGTTCACAGTTATGCCCTTTGGTTTATGTAATGCCCCGGCCACATTTGAAAGATTAATGGAGGCAGTTTTAAGAGGTCTAACATGGAAAACATGCCTGGTTTATTTGGATGATGTAATTGTAGTAGGAAGATCCTTCGATGAACATGCCAATAATTTGACAGAAGTCTTTCAACGATTGCAGGCAGCAAATTTGAAGTTAGGTCCGAAGAAATGTCACTTGTTTCGACGAGAAGTGAAGTACTTGGGACATATTGTAGCAAGTAATGGTGTAACAGCTGATCCTGAAAAACTTGCAGCAATTAAGGATTGGCCGGTACCAAGAGACAAACACGAAATTAGAAGTTTTCTTGGCCTTTGTACATATTACCGACGTTTTGTCAAAGGATTTGCCAACATCTCCAAGCCATTAACAAAGTTGACAGAAGAAGGCACAGAATATACATGGAGCGAAGAGTGCCAAAGAGCTTTCGAACACTTACAAATGGCTCTGATCAGCGCACCGATTTTAAGCTACCCTAGACAGGCAGGAAAATTTGTGTTGGACACCGATGCAAGCAACAGTGCAATAGGAGCTGTTCTATCCCAAATCCAAGATGGGCAGGAGAAAGTCATCGCTTACTTTAGCAAAGTCTTGTCGAAACCATAAAGAAACTATTGCGTTACCAGAAGAGAATTGCTAGGCGTAGTAAAGGCTTGCGAGCATTTTCATAAATACGTGTGTGGCAGAAAGTTTCTTCTTCGCACGGATCACGCTGCTCTAAAATGGCTCCTACAATTCCGTAATCCAGAGGGCCAGATGGCAAGATGGTTAGAACGATTACAAGAATATGATTACGAGATCGAACACAGGGCTGGAAGAGTTCATTTAAATGCTGATGCGCTTTCGAGAAGGCCGTGCAGTGAACATTGTAATCACTGTCTTAAATTAGAAGAAAGACTTTGCCCGTGAGACGAACCACCGTCATTAATCCACCGATATATATATATATATATATATATATATATATATATATATATATATATATATATATATATATATATATATATATATATATATATATATATATATATATATAAGGAAGCCAAAACAACAATTAAAGTATGTGAAGGAACAAAATCAATACAAATAAATAAAGACGTGAGACAATACAAATAAATATCACCGAAACTTTTCAATCAGGCTCTTGAAGATACTTTTAAAAGATTGGAATGGGAAGAAACAGGCATAAAAATTTGTGGACAACGCTTGAACCATCTAAGTTACGCTGACGGCATCGTATTGATAACCGATAAAAAAATAGAATTATTTGAAATGATAAAAGAACTGGACGTAGAAGCTGGAAAGATAGGCCTTAATATTAATTAGAGCAAGACCAAAACCATAACAAATACAGATGAAGACATCACAATAAGAATCGCGCAAGATGAGATAGAACAAGTTCAGGATTATATAGGATTCACTGTTCTTACTTATGGTTCCCAAACGTGGACATTTACAAAAGTAAACATGGACAAAATCATAAAAACTCAAAGAGCAATGGAAAGACAAATGTTGCACATAAGACTAATGTATAAAAAGAGAAACGAGTGGATAAGAGATAAAACAAAAGTGAGGGATGTTAGATAAGAAGTTGCAAAATTGAAATGGAGATTTGCCCGACACAATATATGACAAAAAGAAGACCGATGGAACAAAATTCTTATAAGTTGGAGACCGTGGGAATATAAACGAAGCAGAGGAAGGCCCCAAATGAGATGGGCAGATGATATCAATAAACACGTGGGCTCTAGGTGGATGACTGTAGCGACAGAGAGAAGAATGGAAAAGGATTGGGGAGGCCTATGTCCAAAGATGGACCGGAGAAGGCTAATTAGATAGATAGATAGTTGTTGCATTGTGAATTCCGATATTTTATATAAAGGGTCAGTTTCTGGAAAAGAAAAACCCTAAGTCGAAAAAGAAGGGGCCCAGCTGCAACAGCAATTTAAAAAATTTTAAAAATTAGAGGGAGAGGTGTCTCCATAGAAACTAATATTATAAAAACAAATTTGGGAGATCACTTTTCAGTAAAAGGAACATGTCGACTTTGCGCATATTGTAGCACCGCAAAAAACCGAAAAGAAGTCAAATTATTTGCCGTAGATGTGAAGTGGCTCTCTGTTGAGAATGCTTTCCACTGTTTCATGAAACATAAGAAAATGTTTGATATACTGATTTTTTAAGAAATAAATACTTTTATTCAATACTTATTGTTCTTATTTTGAAAAACAGAAGTGGTCGATATTTTGACTAGGATTCAAGCATGGAGTAAATTGCCCTTGACGTGAGCTGGTTGAAAAATCGACCACCCCTTCCATCTCAAAGTTCAAACCTAAATTTTTTTTAACATGGCAATATCGTTATTTTTTTAAAACACAAAAAAAATTTTTTTTCGTGCATTGCCACTTTTTCTGACAATTTCCATACAAAATATTTAACCTTTATTCCCATACTGAAATCCACATTAAGCAGATTAAAAGTAGACAAAAACAAAATAATTTGTAACTTACAAGATAAAAAAGATATCAGCTGTAATAGAAATACTTTCTACAAATATTGATTTAAGTATCTATGATTTGAAAATACCACCATCGTTATTGCCCTCTTTTCTATTCCACGAAATAAAACCAATTTATGCATTAAATGCATATGCATTACACACAAAGAAATATTTTGTAAAAGATGATAGCTTTTTTACAAAATACAAATACCTACACACAAATAAACACTGTATTTTATTTCTTTATTACTCACCTGGTTCGGAATGTATATTTAAATCTCCTCTTTTATAAGGAAAATGCACATTAAAATCTTGTGTTGGATCTAATCGCAAGATATCATTTCCTATTACTATATCTGCCTCTGGTTTCACCCACTCTCCTCCACTGTTATTAAGTAATTCTGGTTCTGAACGTCTATTGAAGGCTGCAATTTGCTGTGGTGGAGTAGCATACCTATATTATTAATAATTCACATGAGTAACAATAAATAACTGAAAACTATTTTAGACCCGTATGTTTTTTACCATTTACAAATTCATTTTACATGCTAAATATATGAATAAAACATACAGACATAAATATAAGTTTAAATTTATCCAGATTTAGCCATACTGCTCACACTCCCTCTAAGTGGAAAATTCACTTATCCCAGATACCTACGGTATCAAAAGGAGTGAGTTCTGGTGGGACTCTTTCCATGTTATCGAGTCGTAGGTGACTTGGTACGTCGGTGTATCTCCCAAAAATTTTCGCACGCATCTGGACGTCGAAAGTAGCACAGCTTTTTGCATGATCTTATATAGATGTTCATTTAGACCCAGCTTTTTTATGTTTTCTAACAGGTTCTTCGGAATGACTCCAGTGGTAGAAAGAATAATAGGTATCGTTTGGGTACTTTCCATTCTCCATTGTCTCCTTATTTGTATTTCCAGATCTCTGTACTTGGCGATCTTTTCGTTGTACTTAACACGCAGACTATTGTTGTTATGTATCGCCACATCGATTAGAGTTGTTTGTCTTATTAGTATATTAACTTGTACAAGATCTGGTCAATTATATGCTACAGTTTGGTCTGTGAGCACAGTGCGATCCCAGTAGAGCTTGTAGTTGTCATTCTCAAGCATACTCTCAGGAACATATTTATAATATGGAAGATGGTTTTTTGTAGAAGTCCCAGTTTAAAAGCTATCTCTTGATGGAGGATTTTCCCTACTGAGTCATGCCGTTCCTTATATTCAGTTGCAGCAAATACCTGGCAGCCCCCGGTAAGATGTTGGATAGTTTCTTGGGCTTGACATCCATATCGGCATTTGTCGTTTTGGACCTGAGGGTCTTTGACGATATATTTCAGGTAATTTTTGGTTGGTATAACCTGATCCTGAATGGCAAGTAATGAACCTTCTGTTTCAGGGAACATCTTTCCTGATGTCAGCCAATAGTTCGACGCTATATTGTCGACATAGTCTTGACTGACTTCATTCGGATGTTGCCCGTGCAGAGGTTTACCCATCCAGATGCGCATTTTTTTGTTCTCAGTAAGATGGTCTATGCGCATTTCTTGTACCCTCAGTTTGATTGGTGTTGTGTCATCTACTGCACAAATGGCGTGATGAAGAGTAGATGTCTCCGCCTGCACCTGAAAATAAGTTCTTAAATTAGTAATATGTTTTTCTAAATGTTCACTTATATCCATAAGTCCTCGTCCTCCTAAATACCGCGGTAACGTCGTTCTTTCTACTGCACTTCGAGGGTGGTGTTTTTGTGACTTTGTGAGGTGGGTTCGTACTTTTTGCTGAAGAGCTTCTATATCCGTTTTAGTCCACTTAATTATTCCAAATGAGTAGCTAAGCGCGGAAAATACGTAGGTGTTTAATGCCTTAAACAAATTTTTACTATTAAGATGTGAGCGGAGTAGCTGTTTTACCCTTCGTATGAACTCTGATGTTAATTCGATTTTCATTTGTTTATAGCCAATTTTCCGCGCTTGCTTTACTTCTAGATATTTATACATGTCATTTTCGCTCATAGCCTCGATGTTTTGGCCATTTTGCATATCGAATCTTCCGGGCTGAACCTTTCCCTTTACTATATTTAGTATGCATTTGAAAAAGTTTTGAAAAAGTTTCTTTAGCATTTGATCTAAGTGATTTAATGAAGCCATTAGTTTCAAATCATCCATATACAACAGATGATTAAGCTTCGCCACTACAGTATTGTTGTTTTTAATGCTAAAACCTGAGTCAGTGGAGTTCAATTGCTGGGATAGTGGGTTCATCGTTAGACAGAACCACAATGGACTCAGCGAGTCTCCTTGGAATAGGCCAGAATAATATAAATTTATTATATTTATTATTATTATTATCAATTTATATTATTATTATCAATAAACCTGGTTTATTTATTATATACAGAAAAATCAGTGTGACTGAGCACGGCATTGATCAGTCAATGTCAATGTATAGAGGGACAGGAAAAGGGTCAATACTCCATTACCACTAGAATATTCGTGGATAGCAGAGTTTTTCGACAAAATTGCACCACCATATGTGAACAATCACGAAGATTTAATGTTATTCAATTCGAATCCAAGTCATTTTCTCTTAAACACATTTACTATGCTAGAATTGGACTGTGCCCTTAGTGATCGTCCCAACACTTCTCCTGGTTATGATGAAATCAAATAAATTATGCTATTGAATTTACCAAATAATGCAAAAGAGTTACTTCTAAATATTTTAATCAGATAATTAGAGAAGGTTCTAACATTTCAGCCTTCAAACATATTATTGTCATCTCTATACCCAAACCTGGGAAAAATCTAAAATTAGTTGAAGCTTACAGACCCATATCTTTATTATCTTCTGTATAAAAACTCTAGAGTGGATAATTAAGGCTAGGTTAGAATGGTGGTTACTAGAGCAGAACCTTCTACTCAAAGAACAATACAGATTCAGGAAAGGTTTTGTTACTTTGGATGCATTGGCTATCCTTTTTGTAGACATTCAAAACAATTGTTCCAGGAATAATTACTTACCAGCATTATTTCTTAATATAGAAGGTGCTTATGACTCTGTGTGTCTAACATCACTTAAAGAAAAAATGACAAAAATATTTCAAATCCAGCCCAATTTGCCGCTAATATAGTTAATCTTTATTCCAACAGATTAGTTTATTTAAGAAAAGAACAAATGCTCATAGGTCTCAGAATCGTAAACAAAGGATTACCTCAAGGTTCTGTATTGAGCCCTATCCTGTTTAATATGTACATAGAGGATTTGTACAATATTAAAATAAATAACATACTGTTCAACCTCATACAATATGCAGATGATTTCTCCATTTACACAGAACACAAAGAATATGAAAAAGCAATTAAAAACTTGGATAGTATCTATCAGCTACTTCAAAAGTGGCTCCATAAAAACAATTTTGAATTATCTTGTAATAAATCTCATCTTTGCATTTTTACCAGACATTATAAACCTAACGATCAAATCATTAAATTAGGAGAGCATCAATATTCACTAAAAAATAAGGTCAAATATTTAGGGATGGCACTTGACAAACATTTGACTTGGAAAGATCATATTGAGGATATGTTAAACAAATGCAACAAGGGAATAAATTTCCTTAAATCAATTAATAAAACGTGGTGGGGTGCTGATGTAAACATAAATTTATTATTTTACAGAGCGTATATTTGTTCCATTTTGGATTACAAACGCATATTTTATGGATCAGCCAGTAATGTATTGCTAAATAAAATTAATGTAATACACCATTCAGGTTTACATACATGTTTAGGTACTATGAAATCCACACCAATTCAACCCTTGTATTTGGAAGCCTTGGAACCACCTTTAAATATCAGACTAAGCTTCCCGACTGAAAAATGTCTGTTAAAGACATATATAAAAAATCAATCATACACAAAGCTCATTACTCTGAGTTGTATGATTGGTCTACTAAATACTGGGAAAAAATAAATCGCCTTTAGTCTATGAAGCTCTGCAACATAATATGGCAGCATTAAAAGAGATAAATAAAGTGACATATACACTTAAAAACATCTCATATGCAACATGCAGATATCATGGTATAGTGTATATAGTGACAATATACACAGAAACAAAAAGATTATTCACTCAATATTATCCAAATTTGAAAACTCCATCGTTATATATACTGATGCTTCCAAATCATCAAACTGCACTGGATGCGCTTTTTTGTCCCGTTGGAATGAACAGAACACACATTTAAGTTGAACTCCCAAACAGACAGTAACTCGGATCATATAGTGATATTATCAGATTCTTCATCAGTTTAGACCTCTATTGGGAAACCTGGATTGCCAAATACATACAGTTGCCCTTATATTTACAAAATTAGGGATATCAAACAAAAATTAGTAACAAGGGGCAAAAATGTATTCTTTGTTTGGATTAAAGCACATATAGGTTTGGAAAATAATGAACATGTAGACCAATTAACAAAAGAAAGTATTTTGTCTGGTAGAGAAACTTCATATAAAATCATGGCTAGCGAATTTCTGGCTTCCTTAAAATTAAGATTATAAAAAAGGTAGGATAATATATGGAAGGAATATTCCATTGTTAGCCCAAATAGATACACTACAATAGTATACGTTTTTTAAAGTACCTAGAAAATATGTTACTACGATCATTAGGCTGAGATTTGGACATGCTTGTTACCCCAACATTTATTTAAACTTAAGGTTTTAGATAATGATCAATGTGAATTTTATACAGAAGGAAACCTAGATCATATATTTTATGTTGCCCCAGAAATACTATAACTTCATCCATATTATTAAATAACATAAATACAATATATTAGCCTCTTGGAACCTTCAGTACTTATTATCACTAGACTCGAGAACAGTGTATGATTCCTTAAAAGAGATAGTAAAATAGTCATGTAAATAATTATGCATTAGTTAATAACGAGACTACACTATAATTCACGGCCTAACTTTCGCGTGATTGGTTGGTGGGTGGGTCCTGATTTAAAAATTGGCGGGTTTCATGTTTATTAAAATGACAATTGAGGTATTGTGGCACAGTATATCGTGGCACAGAATTTTTATTATAGTTTGATAGGCCTATTTACAAGAACATTAGTTAATTTAACATTATTATATGTTTACTTGATTAGTAATATATGTAGTCAAATTTAATAAAATATATGTATAAATGCTTAGCTTAGGCCTGACTTTTAAAGCTGTGTTAAGTAATGATGTTATAAAGCTATTTGTAGACTTTTATATTAGAATTGTATTTTTAAATCAGGATGTACTGGGCCCTAGGCGAGGTTTAGAGAGGTTTTCCTTCGCCATTGTATCAATAACGGCCCCCTCCTTTGATTTCCCAGATTTTTAATAAAGAATAAAGACATTTTAAACATAGCTATTTAGTGTTTTATTTGGTTTGCAATAGTTATTTCCAGTTAATCTCCACTTCATTTTGTTGACAATGACAATTTTTCATAGCACTCAATTCACAATATATCTTTTTATTATCCTACATTTGTGGTGAAATCTAACAGAATTCAGTGTAAGGTTAGTACTCCAAGTAGGAAAGGAGTGCCTGCTGAATATGTGAGTGGAGTATGAGCAAGTAACAACTGTAACAATAGTGCTAGAACTAAAAGTTAGAACTTTACTATAGTTAGAACAACTATTATAGTGTTAGAAAGATTACAGGTGAAACTGGCAAATTTTGTGTGAAAATAGGGTCTCATCAGGGTTTCTCCCATATTTATTCTCATTTGTGCTAGATTAGATAAAAACTGAACCTCCTGGGTATTAGTAGAAAAGACTAGAGTAGTGGAGATAGGTCTTTGAAGAAAAATGATTAAAATTAAGTTGGATACAAACAAAATATTTAGAATATTATTTAAATATAAAATTTCCAGATACAAGACATTCCAGACAAAACTCCCGATAGAGTAGTTGGCTTGGATAGACAATAACTCATAAAAGATGATAATGTTCGGCTTTTAGGATCGGTATTACCGTTTTATCTATAATATTTCAATTAAAGGTAAAGGAAAGAGGCAAATTGAGTGATGTGTGATAAAAAAAGGTAACAACAAAACTAAAAGGTAAGTTGTATAGGACCGCCTTTAGACCAGCTATGATGTATGGTACTGAATGTAGGGCAGTAAAAATGAGATGAACAGAAATTGCATGTTTCTGAAAAACCATAATCTCATACAAAAAGCGGAGAGGTACTTAGTCCCTGGAAGAGAACAGAAAAGTTTAGAGGAAAATACTTAGAGAAGTCTATTCCACATAGAGAAAGCTAATGAGAATAATAATGTATATATGTATATGTATAATATATAAAAAAGCATCACTAGCATATCAAAATAAAATAAAATAAACTAAAATAAAATAAACACAAGTCAGAATTTAATTTTACCTACATAATGTCAAAAGAAAAATAATTTTTAATTTCTAATAAAACTGTAATAGCCAGCTTAATCCTAAAATATGAATATCATCAGCTTTGTACCAATACCACAATATATTGCTAATAAATTCTTTAGCGATACACTGTGCCACAATACCTCAATTGTCATTTTAATAAACATGAAATCTACCAATTGTTAAATTGGAACCCACCCAACAACCAATCACGCGAAAGTTAGGCCGTGAATTATAGTGTAGTATTTAATAATGTAACCTTTGTTTCTAACCCAATTGTTAAATTCCTTTCTTACAGTGGCATAGTGTTATATGTCTTAAAAAAAATGCCTTGATGGGCCCCTAGGCGATAAGAGGGTGACTCTGTTTACCTGTTTATTGTTTTGTATATATATTTTAATATAAACTCAGACAACCATTTCTACCATGTTGAGTCTGGCTGAATGACTAAAAGTCTATGCAAAAAAATGAATAGATTTTTTTACCAACTCAGTGGACAGGATTGGTAAATAAATATCAAAGGTTAAATTTTTGGTGGAATAGACATAATTTTGGAAGAACATGTAGGTGTTTATGAATTAAGCAAACAGTTTCTAAAATATATAAAGAGGGAAGCATTAAAATCCTGTGATTTTTGAAGTAACATCCTGCAATGCTTTATTCTTCTGAGGCCAAATAGATACTGTATTGCCCTTTTTTGAAATTTAAAAATAATATCAGATCGGGCAACTATACTAGAACTCCAAAACGGAAGACCTTATTGAAGATGAGACTCAAACAAACAAAAATATGTTATTTTGGAAGATGCTAAATTGATTTCACAGTATAGCAGTTTCTTATTTAACAAATCACTTTGAATGTCATTAAGAAGCAAGGGTTGAAGAGTTTCTTTATAGGATAATTCTATTGTCTTATTCACATTAAAAGATAGTAAATCAGAGCAGTACCAGTGTTGTATTGTACATATAAAATCAGAAGTTATAGTTGCATTAAGAGTTGCTCCAGGTGATAATGGTATCATCAGTAAAAAAAAATTCCATTGATTTTTAAATTACTTAGTGATATCAATTATAAAGGATAGCATATCTGAAGTGGAATTGGACCAGGTATGGTGTGAGAATGAATGACACTGGGTGGACTAAATGTATAATAGGGTGGCATCCTAGATTTCAGGCATATATAAGGAAGACCTACATCACAGTGAACAGATGAAATAAAGTTAATCATTTATTTATTATTTAACTAAAAAATTACAGTGTAACTACTTTCTTGTGGCATGTCTAATTTAAATATTATGTTTGTATAGCAGAATTATTGGTTGTAATACACAATTTTAACTAAGTAGTGTTTGACGTTTTAACTTCGAAACATTAAAAAGTACTTAAAAATGTAATTTTCATTGCAATCAATTGTGGATTAATTCCTTACACAGCTCAGGTTCGGGAGGCCTTAGGAAAACTTAAAGGTACTATGTTCAGCAGTTTACACTACAGGATGTGTAATGATCTATAAAACATTCAATATTTTACCTCCTCCTTCCATCAGATTGTAGACAAGACTGTAATGTGTGAGAAACAGCTAGTCTAGCATCCTCCAATTCTTGTACTGGGGTAGTTTCAGCTCTTTCTGATAAAAAACTATCTTTGTATTTGAATCCATTGTGTAACCTTCTTCTAGCTATAGCATGTAAAGTTGTGAGTGGATTTAGGTCTGACGCTCTGCCAATTCGTAAATTGAATGAACCTGGATGGATAACAATGATGCTTTTTGAGTGTACGAGTTCTACAGGGACTTCTGTTGGAGTACTGGCTAAAGTCATTTTAAAGTTAAGGTTCGTTTATATCATGTCTTATAATTAAACCGTTTACTTATTCAGTTGTTTTAAATACTGTTTTCCACTTTACTACTTTCAGTCAGTAATAATCAAAATGATCTATTTGTATTTTTATAAACATAACATTGAGTTTTTAAGGTTATCAGATTTTGTTGTTGTCAGACGATTTTTCTTCTTCTCTTCTTTCTTGGCGCTCCACATAGGCAATTTGCCAGCTCGATACGTGGTAATTCCAGAAAATCGAGTCTGTACTCCTGGAATTCCGATAGCTAAACTAAAACCATCGAGCAATAAGACAGAAGAGGGAATCTAATCCTTATGAAAAGGAGACCAAAAAAGTGGCCTCTGATGGCGGACATATCCGGAAATGCGAATGCGCGAAATTTAAATTTTCCGACACTTATCAACAGTAGCTATATAATATTTTTCAGAATGTGTCTTAGACGAGAAAGTTTTAATTAATTATTAATGATAAGAGTCTAAAATGCGACACAATTGTTAAAAAACTTCAATATAAATAAGATTTCATGTGACATTTGGGACAAACAATGACGTATAATATATAGACTCGGTGAACGCTTTAAAAAGTGTCCAAAACATGAATACCTTTGTTATTGTTTATTGTTTTGATACGAAGATGCACGAAGTTCATGATTTCTTACGAAGCATCACGAAGTTGATCTTGTGTTTGAAAACATCATGGACGTACTCCATTTTGTGTGACAAGCAAATTTTATTTTAAATTGTTGATAGTTATTTACTTACTATTTTAGTAAAATGCCATAGTATTTTATCAAAATAATTATTTCTCTTATAGACGGGAACAAAAAGAAATCATAAATATTTAATTTTAATTAAAAAAATAATTATTGTCATTAACATATAAATGAGCACGCCGCTGTTCTAATAAACATACCTTCAACCTTGAGCCGAGATCTTTCGGACACTCGATTCTATAGCGAGAATAGGGGACTGCGTAGTCTATATATTATACGTCATTGGGGACAAACTGTAACATAACCCAACTAAATTTGATGTCAAACAAGGAGAGAGACTCTCTTTCCTTGTTTAATGTGGCCTCTAAAGATCGCACTTCCTGTCTAACAATATGTTTGCCCCCACTACCTTTACATTCCCTCTATTGTCTTTTTGCTCGATGACTAAAACACACACACCGACACAAACCATGATACTATAACAGAAAAGCGGGTTTGACCTGCTATTCCTTTATGGTCAAATTCTGTACATTTTGCTGATCTTTTACATTTAATTTATGTTTTGTAGCAATATTTATTTTGTTTGTAATACACACAATCAAATCATAGATTCATATATTTCTTTAATTCATTTTACAAATTACTTATTAATTTTCAAAACACGTTTTCATAGAAACTAATTAGTTATGACTTCTTAGTGCAAGATATGGCATCGAGGTATACTCATGATATTATGACCAAAGAATATAGACGCTTAAGCGTCTATATTCTTTGTTATGACCATAGATAAATAATATAATAGTAGAAATAGATAGGCAACTCAATGTATAAATTTCGTTCATTAGGACCCTTGCGGCTGGGGTCAATACTAATCATCTTTTGGCGGCAAATTCGAATGAACACCCCTTACATACATACCCTTTAGCGCCTCTTGTGGGCTATTTCGTTACTAATTAAAATTTATTGGAAAATAAGATATATAAAAGATGCACATTTTTTCTAGATATACGTATATTTATTTGTTGTTTAAGATAAAACAGTTACAAAATAATTACATAATATTTATTACACATATTTGCAAAAGTTAAATACTATTATTTTTTGCTTCCTGACAACTTACTATCATCCTTTTTGTAATTTTTCCATGATTTGTACACAACGAACAATACAATAATTCACCATGTTTAGTTTTGTTACTAGCACTACACAAAAATTCTTTGCTACAATAGGTAACTCAAAATAAACTTTAAAAATTAAGTAACCAAACTTAAATTAAAATTACTAAGAATAAATGCAAACGAAAGTTAAAGATAATAAAATAAAATTAAAAACTTGTAAACAAACGGAAGATCTGTCATTACTTTGAATTGACAGAATTGACATTGCGTCGTTTGATTATTTTATTTGGTTTGTGATTGGTTAAATTCTTCGTGAGAGAGATAGGCTGTCATTTCTCTTTATTAACTCGCTGATGTCAAAGTGATGGGGGAATGAACCAAGTCATTCATATAAGATTCCAGGCCATGGTTATGACTAACAAGATAGGCTTCCCCCATGATACTATGAATAACAAGATAGGATCTTCCCGTAGCCCAAAATCGGTCGTGTTCGCGCATGCCGTCATTGGAGAGTAGAATTTGAATTCTTGTTTAAGTTAAATGGGATTTGTATGTATTCTGTGATGAAATTACTATACGAAAATAAGTTAAGAAGTTCAATAATTACAATAATTGTACACATAAGGATATCTAAAAACTATTTATTAAAGATTATTTATTGACACCAGGGCCCTGATTCTATTTCATTTCGATGTCGAAATTTAAAAGCGACTACGCCATGACAGTCGCAATCGCTAGCGATTCTCATTCATTTCGATTTTAGTTAAAAGTGGGGACATTTACTTTATCATTTTGACACTGCTCAGAATTTGGGTTGGCCGTCTTGTTTATTGGCTGCACGCTGCACGCTTGTTAAATGTTTGTTTTGTTTACATTTTACGATTTTTGTTTCTTTTGTTTGAGTTGTTAAATTTTTAGTGGCCATTCTCAATGATTATATTTTGAATTGAAAGAAAATGGATGGAGGCTGTTGGTGATGGTGGCACTAAATTGTCTGTGGACCAAAAAGAAATTATGATGGCTTTTGACTTAGTGGTTATATTATATTTTTAAATTTACTGCAGCTTAGTATTGGTATTACTAAAAACAATACATTACCGCTCTAAAAATTCTTGATGAGTTTAAAGATTATTTTATATCTCCAAATAAGAGTGTAGAATTAAAATAAATTATTACAACCAAATTATTATTTCTATCTTCCATTACAGCCTTTTGAATATATTCAAAAATTGTGGTTTCCAATTTAGTTTTAATATTGGGACATTTTATTTCTTTAATTTTTACACCACAGTATATTTAAAAAAATAATCAGTAGCATCTGGCTTGGGGCCCCCAGGTACCGCAGTTCTATTTTTATAGGTGTAAAAATATCGACCAATTATGTGCCGAATCACATACAATTTCTGATAAAACGCAGCCATATTAATACTTTTTGCCTCAGTTTTCGTTGCAACAATCAAACAAAACAATACCGCCTAAACTGAACCTAACCTCGCTTCTCCCAGTCCCGCTAGTCATGTCAGATTAATTTCGACTCGAAATTAAATTTCAACCACTTTCTTGAAGTTGAAATTAATTTCGATAAATCGAAATTTAGTGACGTCCTTTGGTTAGTTCAGCTGAAATCCACTAGGCTCGCAAAGTCGCATTTCGACGTCGCCATATTGATTTCAACATGTTTTCAGTCGAAATCTCAATTAGAATCAGGGCCCAGAGATCACTGATTGACACATATAAAAAACTGACATTTCGAACGTGCAACTCTCCAATGACGTCACAAAAACATGCACAATATTTTATCTTCTTATCATAGTATCATGCTATGAACTAAAGATAAACCAATGACGTATAATATATAGACTACGCAGTCCCCTATTCTCGCTATAGAATCGAGTGTCCGAAAGATCTCGGCTCAAGGTTGAAGGTATGTTTATCACTACAGCGGCGTGCTCATTTATATGTTAATGACAATAATTATTTTTTAATTAAAATTAAATATTTATGATTTCTTTTTGTTCCCATCTATAAGAGAAATAATTATTTTGATAAAATAGTATGGCATTTTACTAAAATAGTAAGTAAATAACTCTCAATAATTTAAAATAAAATTTGCTTGTCACACAAAATGGAGAAAATGTTTTTATACGTCCATGATGTTTTCAAACACAAGATCAACTTCGTGACGCTTCGTAAGAAATCATGAACTTCGTGCATCTTCGTATCAAAACAATAAACAATAACAAAGGTATTCATGTTTTGGACACTTTTTAAAGCGTTCACCGAGTCTATATATTATACGTCATTGAGATAAACCCACGCGTACGCGATCAGTCGTGTGACGTCACTTGGCGACAAATGTCACCAGAAATGTTCTGTGTTGTATGAAGTTTTGTCGTTTTATCGTTTATCTTGTACGTTGACACATGATACTATGAATAACAAGATAGGATCTTCCCGTAACCCAAAATCGGTCGTGTTCACGCATGCCGTCATTGGAGAGTAGAATTTGAATTCTATTTAAAGTTAAATGGGATTTGTACGCATTCTGTGATGAAATTACTGGACGAAAATAAGTTAAGAATTACAATAATTGTACACATAAGGATATCTCCAAACTATTAAATATTATTTAATAGGTAAAGAAATAATAAGAAGACTTACTCACAATCAATTTAATTTAACAATCTGATATAAAATCTGACATAAAACTGTCTCCTTCATTACATAAATACTCAATAAATAACACACATTCCAAAAATATATCTCTGATATAAGTGTAAATAATTTAAATAATACAATAGTAAAGAACATCACTTTCATCTGACAAACAACCACAATATACCTATCTCTAATTCATTGGATCAAATCTGTTCTCCTCAAGAACTTCCCGTTTATTGTCAAAACAACTGCAATAGCACATTAAAGTTCTCCAATCAACAATACATGATTTTTGCAACCATGACCTACCATCCATCAGTTAATAGAGTACCGGCATGTAAGTAATGTTTGTTTTGTTTTATTTATCTGCTCATTTATTAATTTATTACAATATAATATTACTACTTTATACCAATTGTGGGTCTTACCTTGTCTGTTAATACCTTTTATATATTCAAATTTATTCATTTTGAAAACCACAGACATGTAATATTGGCATAATTACTATAATTTGTATGAACTAACTTATTTGTTTATTTTATCTTTATTAGACACCACCCTAATTGGGTTTATTTTATTGCAGCATTAGTTTAACTTTGTATCTAGACCTGAAGATGCTTTGCAAATTGTAGAAAGCGAAACCG